TGGATATCACTGGCACATCTGAGTTTATAAAAAGGGAAAATGTTAAATCGTTTTTTTCCACAAGTTTCCAGGTGTGCACTTAACTGGATTTGTCTATATTCAGGTGTACTGATGTGTTGCTTATGTACACGTACACGGGCACGGAGACTGTTGCCAGTTTCACCAATATAATATTCTTTGCATCCAGGACATATGATGGCGTATATGACATCTTTCGTATCACATGACATGTTGGCATTAACTTAAAATTCACGCCCGTTAAAACTATAACTCGTCCCTTCTGTAATGTAGTCACATGTGCCGCAGCGAGGGTCCGTACACTTTGACACTGTATAATTATGGTCAGCGAATTGGGAGGAACAAAGTATTCTCTTAAGGTTTTTGGGCTGACGTTTACTGCTGATAAAACGACAGTTTTTGTATGTAGTTTTCGTTTGTTCATCCTCTCTAAGTAAGCTATTTAATTCATAAACAATTGAATGTGTGTTTGAAAGTAATTGTGTTCTATCACACTCCTTGGCTTTCATAATACTATTATCTACCTGTTTCTCTGGGTATTTTTGGCTCAATAAATACATTTTTAATTCCTCCAAACGGATATCCCTCGTATTAATATTGCTCACAATGGTACAGATCCTTCTTGCGAGATTATATGGTATAGCCGTTTTAGTATGGTGGGGATGGCACGATCCGAAATGCAGATATTGGTGTGTATCTGTCGGCTTATAGTATATATCCGTATTTAACCTGGTATTATCTTTTGATATAAGAACATCGAGAAATGGCATTTGCGTATCATCTGTTTCCATCGTGAATTTGATATCCGAGTTCATTTGGTTTAGTAGATCGTAAAACTCCGATAATTTGTCGACATCATCATCCCATAAGATAAAACAGTCGTCTAAAAATCTTTTCCATTTAGACTGTATATTATTTGCAGATTCTATTCCCCACAACGAACATAATTGTTCATGTAACTTATGTTCTAAATAACCTAAGGTTAATGTTGCATAGGTAGGTGCGACTTTCGTCCCCATTGCAGTTCCCTTAGTTTGAAGGTAATGATGGTCAGAAAAAGCAAATGAATTGTTTTCTAGAACTAATTTAAGTGCTTCTAAAATAAAATTCTGTTGGAATCTGTCATTTAGTATATCGGGATAACTTTCCATCCAAAATTTTACAGCTTCCAATCCTAATTCTGTAGGAATATTAGTATATAAACTAACGACATCAAAAGTGGCAAGTTTTGTGTTACAGGTGATCTGAGTAGGTAAATGATTTATGAAATCCAGATCGTCTCTTACAAAGCTGGGTACTTTTTGACAATATGGTTTTAAAAGTATATCCAATAAGTGACTCAGTCTTTGTGTTGATGAGTTTGGTCCTCCTACAATGGGTCTGAAGCATAAATCACCTGGATCAAGACACGTAATACATACACTATTTTGATTTGCTATGGCGTCCTTAATAATTTTAGACTTGTGAACTTTAGGTAAACCATAGAATTGGCTCTCTCGGAATTCAAAGTTTGTCAGGTAGTCCTGTTCTTTATCTGTTAAACCTTCCGATAGTGGTCCATATACCAGCTTTTTTATTTTAGTAATTGTTTTCTTCTCATGACAATTGTGCAGTCTTTCATAAAAGTTGTTGTCTTGTAACATTTGTAACATTTTATTTTTGTAAAAATCCTTATTCATTAACACAACTCCACCTCCTTTATCAGCCTCTTTAATAATGATAGTAGGGTCATCGCATAGGCTTTTAAGAGCTTTTTCCTCTTCCTTAGAAAGGTTGGGTTTGATATTTCTGGGTTTGTTTGGAAAATGAATATTTTCTAATGTATCGCAAACGGCATCCAAAGTTCGATTTCTTCCTCGTTTTGGATTAAACTTAGATTTGTTTCTTACCAGGTCTATTTGTTCTGCTTCTTGAGACTCGGAATCAGATTCATTGGTATCACGCAATTAATTCAAAGGGAAGTTAATGAGCTCGCTTTACAAAAAGAAGCCATGAGGATTAAACAAAGGATCAAGGTCACTTGGACGCAAACTCTCAACTCCAGGAAACAAACATACTATAAACAAATAAGTAATGCCAACCGCGCAGAATATTACGAAAAATGGGTAAGTCTGGAAAATCCCGTAATCCCGAGGAAATTTAGAATTAAGCCAATACGGGGAGAACCGGTTGAACAAACAAATGTTAGAGTTGAGACAGCTAAGAGTCGTGTGATGGGAGAAATTCAGTTACTAAGAATGAGGGCAGAAAACAACCAAAAAAGAGTTCTGTCGATCGACCTAGAAATGGATCGCTTACTGAAAACTAAGGCATATGGCAGAGTATTAGAAATACTACAAGATACGTGGAGATCTGATTGCCTTAAGGAGGAACAAACTTCATACAACAGATGGAGATATACGGAAGCCTGGCTTTTGGATTATGAAAAGAATTATGGTAAAGAAGTTATTAAACAAAATACACCAAGACTACAGTCATTGCATAAAAGACAAACTTCTAGGAAAAGTTACGCGTCCGCCGTAAGAACCAGTTCTGCAAATAATCCTACAGTTACAGGGGATTTCCCTACGGAAAATGCGCCTGAACCATCGTTTTCTAAAGGAATAAAAGAATTTTCGGGAAAACGAAAAACCGCAAATAAGAATCAATACGAGAATTCTGAATCCAGAAGTAAATCTTCTCGTAGTGCTTTTCCACAAAATCAACAGATTCCTAAGTACCACAAAGGCATAAAAAGACGGAATCAGGGCAATAACAGACAAAATGAAAATTACCGAGGATACGTTAGAAGTAGGCGTCCACCAAACTTTTACAGAAACGAAAGAACTACGTATATTGGAAGAGGGGTTCGCAATTATTTTTTAGGAGGAGGCAAAATGAACCAAGGCCAAAGATACAAGAACCAATTACCACAATTGTTAACAACAACAATTCCAGGGATGCACCCAGGAATGTAATTAAAATAGAACCAAAAGTATTTAATCTTTCCGACAGACATCTGACGGATTCCGAAATCAAATTACTGTCTAAGGGTCTTAAATACACCCCTACACCTCATGTAAATAATCAAGAGCTTAAAACGGATATTAAAGCCTATACTCGACGACTCAGGCTATATGAATATTTTCATGAAAGTGATACCAATGAATCTGATTCCGAGTCTCAAGAAGCAGAACAAATAGACCTGGTAAGAAACAAATCTAAGTTTAATCCAAAACGAGGAAGAAATCGAACTTTGGATGCCGTTTGCGACACATTAGAAAATATTCATTTTCCAAACAAACCCAGAAATATCAAACCCAACCTTTCTAAGGAAGAGGAAAAAGCTCTTAAAAGCCTATGCGATGACCCTACTATCATTATTAAAGAGGCTGATAAAGGAGGTGGAGTTGTGTTAATGAATAAGGATTTTTACAAAAATAAAATGTTACAAATGTTACAAGACAACAACTTTTATGAAAGACTGCACAATTGTCATGAGAAGAAAACAATTACTAAAATAAAAAAGCTGGTATATGGACCACTATCGGAAGGTTTAACAGATAAAGAACAGGACTACCTGACAAACTTTGAATTCCGAGAGAGCCAATTCTATGGTTTACCTAAAGTTCACAAGTCTAAAATTATTAAGGACGCCATAGCAAATCAAAATAGTGTATGTATTACGTGTCTTGATCCAGGTGATTTATGCTTCAGACCCATTGTAGGAGGACCAAACTCATCAACACAAAGACTGAGTCACTTATTGGATATACTTTTAAAACCATATTGTCAAAAAGTACCCAGCTTTGTAAGAGACGATCTGGATTTCATAAATCATTTACCTACTCAGATCACCTGTAACACAAAACTTGCCACTTTTGATGTCGTTAGTTTATATACTAATATTCCTACAGAATTAGGATTGGAAGCTGTAAAATTTTGGATGGAAAGTTATCCCGATATACTAAATGACAGATTCCAACAGAATTTTATTTTAGAAGCACTTAAATTAGTTCTAGAAAACAATTCATTTGCTTTTTCTGACCATCATTACCTTCAAACTAAGGGAACTGCAATGGGGACGAAAGTCGCACCTACCTATGCAACATTAACCTTAGGTTATTTAGAACATAAGTTACATGAACAATTATGTTCGTTGTGGGGAATAGAATCTGCAAATAATATACAGTCTAAATGGAAAAGATTTTTAGACGACTGTTTTATCTTATGGGATGATGATGTCGACAAATTATCGGAGTTTTACGATCTACTAAACCAAATGAACTCGGATATCAAATTCACGATGGAAACAGATGATACGCAAATGCCATTTCTCGATGTTCTTATATCAAAAGATAATACCAGGTTAAATACGGATATATACTATAAGCCGACAGATACACACCAATATCTGCATTTCGGATCGTGCCATCCCCACCATACTAAAACGGCTATACCATATAATCTCGCAAGAAGGATCTGTACCATTGTGAGCAATATTAATACGAGGGATATCCGTTTGGAGGAATTAAAAATGTATTTATTGAGCCAAAAATACCCAGAGAAACAGGTAGATAATAGTATTATGAAAGCCAAGGAGTGTGATAGAACACAATTACTTTCAAACACACATTCAATTGTTTATGAATTAAATAGCTTACTTAGAGAGGATGAACAAACGAAAACTACATACAAAAACTGTCGTTTTATCAGCAGTAAACGTCAGCCCAAAAACCTTAAGAGAATACTTTGTTCCTCCCAATTCGCTGACCATAATTATACAGTGTCAAAGTGTACGGACCCTCGCTGCGGCACATGTGACTACATTACAGAAGGGACGAGTTATAGTTTTAACGGGCGTGAATTTTAAGTTAATGCCAACATGTCATGTGATACGAAAGATGTCATATACGCCATCATATGTCCTGGATGCAAAGAATATTATATTGGTGAAACTGGCAACAGTCTCCGTGCCCGTGTACGTGTACATAAGCAACACATCAGTACACCTGAATATAGACAAATCCAGTTAAGTGCACACCTGGAAACTTGTGGAAAAAAACGATTTAACATTTTCCCTTTTTATAAACTCAGATGTGCCAGTGATATCCAGAGACGGGAAAAAGAAAAACATTTTATTTGTATTCTAAAGCCAAAACTTAATAGTCTCTTATAAACTACCTATGATTTTCCCGAACTTTTTCATCATCATTGCAGTATTTTATCTATGACGTCACAATATAGACATTAAACGTTCCGCTTAGTTTAACGTCATAATCATTGTTACTATGTTACCGTTGTATACATTTTTGTAATGTAAAGCTTCTGAAGATTTTTAATGAAAGCGCTAAAGCTTTACGGAGGATTCTTGTGTTTTCTTTTTATATTTGTTTAATATTGTAATCCGATTACTGAGACTTTATTTCAATTTTGGATATATATATATATATATATATATATATATATATATATATATATATATATATATATATATATATATATATATATATATATATATATATATCAACATACATATATGTGGGGTTTTTTTTAATTTCTTTGATATTTTTAAATTTGATATAAGTTTGATGGAGCTTTTTCCCCTATCATAAATAACATTAGTAGATATACTATCATATTAAAATTTCCTTATTTATTTACTTAATTAGTGACAGGAACTTTGATTATAAGTTTACCTTACTTCGTCTTCTGTCTCTTATAATAGACGACAGTGTGTATAGTATCGGGTTTAGTGCAGAGTTAACAGGCAAAACAAGCACAATTATCCAGGCATAAACCTCTTGTGATACATCGATGCCATAAAACGTCAGCATGCCTGTAATTTTAAATGATCTCAGAATGACAAGTTCCCTTCTTGATATTTGTTTTAAGGACCCTCTATACACTGATGAAAAATGTTTTTTGGACTTATAATTATATAACGTAAGGGAGGCTATTTTGAAATTAACTAATTCGTCTTTAATATAGGGAGCGTGCCTTTTTTAATCCAGGAAAAAATCTTCAAAGACAGTGAAGTAATGACAAAGAAAAGTTGTTTTTGTTTACTCAAATGGGGAAAATACATGCAAATAAACTTTTCAACTACTCTATCTTGGTCTAATATAATGTCTATAATACATGGATTTATTTTAGGTTTTGACATACAGTGCAGATTACAATTTATTTTATTTTTTGTCAAATGGTGGGTCAGTCTAACTACACGAAAGTACCCTGAAATTAGGGTGCAGTGTAGAGAGGGTCCTTAAATATTTTTACGCTATCATATCCATGTCCCAAATAGGAAAACAAATCACAGGTAGGTTTATTCGTGTATCACCTTTGATTAAAAAATTATTTTAAAAAATATTATATGCATTCTCATTCTTTGCCCGGCTATTGATAGAATAAAAGAAGAAAACATCCCCCTTTATCATAACGAGTACAATAGATTTAAAAGAGCTACTATCCTTTTATTTCTTTATAGCGGAATCCAATAAAATGTATTGCAATATTATTTACTTATTTTAGGAAAATAATTTACCAATGATTCCTATGGGTATCCAACAGAAAAGGTCCGTCAAAACAACAGCCACAACAGACTTGGCTAAGGCAATCTCTCGTCGATGCGTATTTGTTGAATTACACATTCTGCTGGATTTAATGACCTCTACGAGAATCAGTACTTGCCCAACAGTTATACCGAGGAAAATCATGAAGTTTAAACCAACAAAAATTACCATTGAATATTGCCAACCAGTTTGCCTATGAACTGATAATGGTAGAGATATGCAGATGGGAGACTGCGCATAAAAACCCTCAAATAATGCTATTTCTTTCGGCAAAATTGGTAACACAGATACAGAAACAGCAATAGCCCAAGAAAGTAGTGATGATCCAAGAGTGAAACCTCTCCCCCTTTGGATAAACGGATGTTTAATAGATATGGCTCTATCAATAGTTATCAATAAAACAAAAAGTACAGATGCCTCGCTGGAAATTGTCGCTAAAATCCCGGCAAACGTACAAAGATCACTATGTCGCCACTCATAGTCATTTAAGCCATAGTTCCCTGCATAAACTAAATTCATAATTGCTATAATATACAAATATACTCCCATCAAAAAATCAGCAATGCATAAATTTCTACAAAAAACAAAATAGGAAATTGACTTTTTCCGAAACATAACTATGCTGCTTATGAATGCAATCATGTTCCCAAAAGTTGCAAGAAGAGCTATATACCAAATAACAACATTAAGAATATGAACACTTATAAGTTGATCACAGGAAGATATTTCATTTCTGGGAGCAACACATTTAACGTGATATATACTATGTGGTTTTGCACAACATATTGAAAATACGTCCACATGAAGCAATTTAAGATTAAACAACCCGAGAAACATCCCTGCGACAGAAATAATTTCATTATTCTGGATGTACAGATTCTGTAAATTTTCCAAATGAAGAAATAGGTTTTCTTCAAAATATTTGATCCTGTTGTTTGATATATCTAATGTTATCATTTCTCTCAATTGGGAAAATGCCTTTTCATGAAAGAAGTTGATCTTATTGTTGTTTAAATACAAAACGTTTAGATTATTTAAATGAGGAAAGTAGTGGTTTTTGACAGTAGTAAATGAATTGTTTGAGAGATCAAGAAGACGAAGTGATGTCAAAGTCCCTAGACTATTCTTCTCTATTTCTTTTAATCGATTACTTTTAAGATTAAGGAGCTGTAGCATTTTAGAAGGCAAGAAATCACCATACCTTATGATTGTTATTTCATTGAAGGAAAGGTCTACTGATTTGACAAATGGTGGTTCAATTATAGAGCTTATGTTTTTTATTGCACTATTTTGCACCGTAAAAAATAAGCCAAAGATAGCACTAGACTTGTAATTTCTCAAAGCTAAAATTTCATTATTGTGTTTTGTATCAAGCCTTCTGAAGAAAAGCCGGGTCTTGTCTAACTGTACCGATGCTCGAAACATTCTTGGGAAAAATATAACTATGTAATCAGATAACTGAAAGGATATTTTGAAACCGTTGTCTACATATGTGTGTATTTCCATATCAATAAATATTTCATAGAATGAGAAAACTGCAAAGAGGTTTTTTTCCCTTCTTGAATCATTCAACAAGCTAATTTCTATTAAAACATTTGAGACAGTTTTAGCGGTTAATACTCTGAAGTATTTTAGTGAACAATTTTTCAAATGCAACGATTGTAATTGTTGCGAAACTAATTCACTTTGAATGATAGTAAAGTTTTCGATACTGCTATTATGGATCGCTATATGTTGTAAGCTGTCAATCATTCTTCTGTCAATCAGCAGAGACTGAATATTAGATTCTATGATAGTCAAGGAATATACAGGAAAAGAATAAAATTCATGAAAGGGCACTGTACCACAAGTAATATTTTTCCATTCGAGATAATGGTGGGAATTTGTTAAAAAAATTGAACAAATATTTTTTGATTTAAACGAAAAACAAGACCTTGGACACACTTGAAAACATTTCCATAATCCTTCAGTAAATGAACACCTGTTAGTAGTATTATTTTCAAGGAAAACACCACCTTCTTCTCTTTCACTTAAACTCCCTAAAGAATTCTTCAATTGATTTGTTCTACTAAAGTCAACATCAGAAATATTCTTGAAGAAAATGCGCGAAAAACATTCAGCCTCTGCATACAAGCTTTGATACTGGCTTTGGTTTAAAATGTTAATGATATCTGTTGACAAATTACACGACATTGGAAACTTATCGATATGCTGAGGCACTAATGTTATGTTGAAAGGACCTGGAACAAAAAATAAAAATAGAAATGGAAAGAAATAATAATACTTAAGAATACAAAAAATAAAAAAAATAAATAAATGTAAAGAGATAGCAATACTTTAGAAAATGATGAAGTTTTTAATGCTTTTTGTAGCACTATTTTGGAAGTACCTTTTCAAAATAGACTAATTTTAGATGGGGTTCTTAACAATGAAAGAAATATAACTTACAATTTCCTTCATCACTTCCATCATAACAGTCTCTCTTTCCATTACAAAACATGGTCTTTGCTATGCATTCTTGACTTTTGTAGCAGCGAAACTCATTAGCTGGGCAATACTTCGTTGCTGTGAAAAGTCAAAGAAAAATACGATGACGCGGATTGTGTTTTCAAAAGGTCAAGGAAAGTTAAGAAGTTAATCAGACGGGCTCGTTTAATTGATTTTTCAAATTTTCTAAATAGACATTAACCTGTGCACGCAAGGGTTGAGGATGATTTTAATCCATTTGCGAAGTGAAACCAAAGTTTATTGAGTTGAACATTTTAAGCATTTAAAAAAAAATGAAAATAGCTTAAAAAGTTGATTACGCGGGGTTTTGTTGTGATTTTTTTTATTTGGAGGAGGACCTTGTATTCCAAAATCATACAGATATATGTCAGTTTAGTTCAAAGTATGCCTGGAAAAATATTTAATTAATTACATGTAAAGTGTACTTTGTGCACGTATTTTCTTTTCATTTACCATTCATATATTTTTCAGTTCCAATAAACCATTAAACATCATATACAGTCGAAATAAATGTTTGTTTTTTTTTTTTACATAGAAATGCGAGGTGTTTTTCTGATGGTCTAAGGGGATTGAAAACTTACAAGTAGTTAAAATCCCAACAAAAACGAATATCAGTAAAATATGTACACTGTGTACAGATGAAGGGTGTAAATGAACTTGTCCTCTCAAAATGAATTTCTGTATTCCGGAACTGAAAATATTCGCTACCTAAGAGTTTTTGGTCCACGTCGCTCCCCTTCCTGGAGAGAAAACAATTTCTAAAGTGGATTTTATAATATCATATATTGGTTCTAATCTTGTTGTGGCCCGTCTTTATCATAGCCCTACTATGTTTAGTCCGACTTATCTGACAGCAGCAAGAAGATTGCGAGTATTTCGAGATCATATAATTCCGAATTTTAAGAGTCATTTTTTTTAATAATTAACTAATTAACACTTACAGAGAAAAAAATAAGTTCCGATTTGAAAACATTTCTACAAGTTAGGTACAATGATTTTAATATCGACATTGGCATTTTTAAAATCCTGCCAATCACAAACCTCGAGAGACCAGTCACTGTAGTCTAGTGGTAGGCAGTTCGAATTCCCTTCGATCGGGAGGCACGGTTCGATTTTCGTTCGCCGATCGCGTCAAACTTTCAACTTAAACATAGGTAGTTACTGTTCCTTCGCCAAGCTCCCGGCATTAGAAGTGAAATTTACGGGTCTTTCTGAAGAGAGCTTAAAAAGCGAGGTCCCAAGTCACAAAAGGTGTTGACACAAAAGAACCCTCACTTTCAATGGCCCTGAGAGCCGAGTAAAGGTCTGAATTTGAAGTCCTTCACCGGCATACGGTGACGCCTCTATATGAGTGAAATCTTCTTGAAAAAGACGTCAAACAACATACAATCAATCAATCAAACCTCGAGATTATTTTTACTATGGGTTTCAAATTATTATATTTTATTCTGTCTTACATGCACTTTTTTATATTTAAAGGAAATGTTTCTTGAATACCATATATTATTCTACAATTTACATCTTTCGTATGTAAGTAAAGAGATATTAATGACCAAAAACTCAAAACAAAAAAAAAAGGGTTCTATGGTAAAGTTTCATAGTAAATAAAAGTTTTCCCTACAGTTAACTACCGTAAACTGTAGTTAACTATAGATATACAGAAATTTCTGTTAGGATAATCTTCAATCCATTGGAAACGTTGACGGATTCAATAGAAGTAGAACACTTGCAAATTCGTTTCTATCTATTGCTGGAATAGACTCACTTCTGATAATATTTGATTTGATTGAGATATGTACTTGCTAGAATTCCTTTCTGTCTCATCCAATCAGAGTATAAACAATGAGTCTATAAAAAGTCTTCATTGGAATTTGTTTTAAAATCATATATATATATATATATATATATATATATATATATATATATATATATATATATATATATATATATATATATATATATATATATATATATATATATATAACAAAGCTGAGAGAGAGAGTTATTTACAACCCTCTACACAATTAGTATATTCAGTACATGTAAACATAGGTTGTTTTGGGGGTCAAAATAATCTATGAGAACTGACGCTTTTAACTTTGAGCGCCACCTCTATTTAACTGCTTTCTTGTAAACTACAATTTTATAGCAACTATAGTTTATGAATGTGAGTATCTTATCTGTAAATTACATAGCTATATCTTTAGAAAAAAAAAAGAATCTTGTATATTTCTCTATTATTACGTTTTGTTACGTTTGATCGCAAAAACCGATTTTTTTTTTTTTTATATATATATTAATTTAGCTTAGTTTTTGTTGAAAGCAATGTTGTAATGATGATCCTATCACAGATAAATTAGAAAAATAGCTTAAAACCGCTAATTGTCGTAAATGTTAAGAGCCATTCTCTGCATTGACTTGAAATTGTATATTGAAGCTGTGGCACACATAGTCCCAGAATTTCTCGAAACTCTCTAGGATAAAAGTCTATGATACCGTAAACTCAAAGCAGGCAAAAATTGGTTGCTACGTGTCATGTTTAGTGACGTTAGTGAATTGTATTTTTCAACATGTTCAGAGTTTCATAGTTAGTTTGCATTGAAAAATTAACTATTGCATAGTTACTATGAAAACAAATTATTTGAAAGTAATAATTTTATTCATTCATCTTCATTCATAAAGTCATATACTCAAAAATAAAAGTAATTATAGGTTGAAATGCAACCAAATGATAGAGAAAGATCCTTAAGCTTGTCAAAATAATACCCCAATTATAAAATGTGATATTTCTTATTAGTTGGCAATGATTGCCACGGTTTTAACACCCCAAAGTGATTTCAGATTTACTCTCTGTATGTTTTAATCTGATCCTATGTTTTGGAAAAAGCACATTTCTACCTAAGTGGCGATCAATTTTGAACGGCATTCGTGTGGTCCTAATTATAATTTTCACATTTCAAAAAGTTCAAATTTAATACTTTAAAAAGAGCGTTGCTATGGAAATAAGCAGAAAGGTATGTATAAAAAATCTGAAAAATATTTTGTTTCCTTGGATATTTACCGTTGTATGAAGATTCCTAAAACTTTTATGATTGATATTTATGAACAACTAACCTGACTTTCAGTTATGACTGCCACACACTCTTAACTGGATGCCAGAAGCTACCACATTGGGTGTAATTTTGCTGTGAAGTTAACAAAACCGAATATTTTCCCTCATTGGTAAACATTGCAACAGTGTTATTTTCCTCGTCAAACCTTATCAATATGTGATATTCAATTTCTATCATATAAGTATTATTCAATTAAAGTAAAATATTTTTCTTGATCTAAAGGTAACTCAATTCCTAAAGCAGCAAAAAAAAGTATCACTTTAAAACCAATTGTACGTTGTTTCCATGGTTACACTGCAAAGTAGCAAGTAATCTCAATTTTTTTTCCGCTATCTGTGTTATAAGGTCCTAACGATGTATATTTACCGGTCTTGAATTACCATGTTTGCCTCAAGATGGTAGGATTAACCAAAACTCAGCAACAATTTTTTTGTGGCTACACTGTATTACCATGGCAACCATGACAGTTATTTTTAGAAGAATATTGCCAATACCTAATAACATAAGGTCAATCATTAGGGCTTTCCACCTTTCTGTGGAAAGTCCCATTGAAAATGATCTGTTTATTATTATCATTATTTTTCCGCCGCGTGTTTCTGAGTTTCAAGATTTTTCCAAAAGATTCGTGGTCCATAAAAATGTACTTCGTAAAAGATTTTTGCAGTTGATCCTGCATATATGAACTTTGACCCCTCGAGGAGTTATAACCCCATTCGCAAAAAAACCTTGTTATCACTACTCCTTCGAAACCATAAACCGTAGAGATACAAAACCTACATCTACACTAATGTCTTTGACTAATTTAGAAGACTCTTCAGTCTATTCATTGCGAAAAGATTTGTAACCCCCTTTTATGAGTTATTGCCCCTGAAAGTTTTTGGTGTTTACGAATAGTTAAAAAAATTTAAAACGATTAATCATAGAGACATGGGACCAATGACATTGGATTTCTCAACCTTTGACCTTGAAATTTATATAGAGGTCAAAGGTCAAGGTTATTCATAATATGAGAAAATGAGCTTTTTTAATATCTCTTTTTGTCTTTCGACATATACTTTATATCTTTGCATCTATAATATGTCCTTCTAAAACTATTTCAAAGATTTAATTCTTGTCCCCAAAGTTTGACTCATTTAAAAGTCATTACCCCTTATGCAATAAAGGGCAATATGCAATAAAAGCTTGTTATCGCTACTCCTCTGAAACTATAAACCGTAGAGATACAGAACCTTTAACAATGCTTTTGACTTGTCAAGAGGGATTTTCAGTCTATCATTGCGAAAAGATTCGTCGAAGCCTTTTACAAGTTAACGCCCCTGAAGTTTCTTGCTGTTTACGTAAACTGGAAAAAAAATTAACGCATTAACGTAGAGACATGGGACCAACTGAAATGGATTCTTGCATTTTTGTTCTTGATATTTAGTCAAGGTCAAAGGTCAATGTCATCCAAAATATGAGATATACAGAACATATAAAATGTATGAAATAAACTATTCCACGCTTTCATTATTTTGTTTTCTTCTTAAAATGTATGTAGAACATTTTATTTATTATATTTATTATAGCTGCATTTAATATAACCCACATGGAAGCTTGTTTTATTTAGAAATCTTCTTACTGAATCTGCAACAATCTTAGGATCCGCAGTCGGGCCGCTCTGAGTTCAATCCATGTTTTCCCATACGACGATCTACATACCATTTGCCTCGAGTCCGATTTATTTCATCGGCAGTTTTCTAAGTAGTTAAACTAAATCAGAACATTTAACACCTCAAATTAAACCTTCGAATGCATAATGCACAAAAATAGAAATACGATATGCACAGTAAAACACATGTCATGCATTGTACTTCCATGGTAACTATGCAAACATTGGTTA